ATTTTATTTTATTTTATTTTATTTTATTTTATTTTATTTTATTTTATGTGTATAAGTGTTTGCCTCTGTGTATGTCTGTGTGCCACATGTGTGCAGTGCTCACTGAGGCCAAAATAAGAGTACTGGATGGTTGTTAACAGACAGTTATGAAGCAATATGTGGGTGCTGGGGACTGAACCTGGGTTCTCTGCAAGAGCAGCCACTGCTCTGAGCTGCTGAGCCATCTCTGTAGCCCTCTTTTTTTGTACTTTTGAGACAGGGACTCAGGGTGGTCTTGAATCACTGATCCTTTTCTTCCTTTCAACTGCTGGGATTACAGGTATTTGTCCCATTCTAGATTTCTTTCTCAAAGATTAATCTCTTTGGCTGGGGACATAGCCCGTAGGTTCAGAGCTTGCCTAGCAGTCCCAAAGCTCAGGTTCAATCCTCAGCAACATATAAAGAGAACACGGTAATGGAATGCCTCATCAAGCTATGAGGGATCACATGGCCACAGAAGACCACTAGGGAGGACTCATCTATACCCTCCTATTCTGTTCTATAGTGTCAACAGAGCCAACTCAATCTCGAAATGGAGTCTTGACTATGTTGCTCAAGTTAGTCTTGAATAGGTAGGCTCAAGTAATCCTCATCTGACTAAATAGCTGGGACTGCAAAAGATTTCTTTTGTTATTGTTGGGTTTTGTTTTTGTTTTGTTTATTTGAGACAGAGTCTCTCTACATGGCTCTGACTGGCCTAGAACTCACTGTATTCATCAGGCTGGCCTCAAATTCATAGAGATCTGCCTGCCTCAGCAATAGTCTACCCTTAATGTGTACCCTTCCTTCCTTCCTTCCTTTCGTTTTGGTTTTATTGTTTTGAAACAGGGTCTCATTGAGTAGCCCTGGTTGGCCTGGAACTCACGGAGTCTTCGTGCCTCTGCCTCCCAAGTTTTGGAATTAAAGTTGTACACCATCATGCCAGCTTCTTTCTTTCTTTGAAACCAGGTTTCTTTATGTAACCAGGCTATCAGTAAACTCATATTTTTTTTTTCTGCCTCAGCCTTCCCAATGATGGGATTAAGGGACCACTAAGCCCAATTAATCTGGAAAAAAATTATCAGTCCCAGAAAAATCAAAGCACCGCTCTACCCTATTTAACCTGGTTTTGGAACTTACTAAAAAGGCTATGGTTCTAGTGAGGGTATGGTAGCCCACAATTGTAACCTCAGTATTTGAAAGGTTAGGGCAGGATTATCATGAGTTCCAAGCCAGCCTCAGCTACAGACTGACATTCTAGCTCCAAAAAGTAAATAAATTAAATAAGTAAATAAATCAAGGAAATACAGTTCCAAATAAAATATAATCTGTTCTCTGCTCCTTACAGCATTACCACAAAGATACCTGAACTCCTGAGCCCAGATCTGCCCACCCCTGAAGGCTTCCTGTACTTCTCAACAGGAGGGGAAAAACACAAGCAGAACTTACCATATTTGTTAAAGCAGAAAAAAAACCACTCTGGTGTTCTTCTTCCTTGTCTTTATACTGCCTAAAAAGATAACTAAATTAAACTTCAGGGTTTTTTTTAACCAAGTATATATTCAACCCTGACATTCTAGGGAATCAGGGCAGAGTACTCTTAGAATGTCTGGCTCCAGAAAAGTAAAGCATGGTGACGCTCTAGCCACGGCAGCTCCCCCGCAAGCTGAGCGGCACCCATCTGCTCTTGAGGTGCTGTGTACCAAATGCTGGGCTACTTTAGGAGAGCCTTGGAAAGCAAGCTGCGCAAGTGTGAAGCTCTCTAGCATATGGCTGATCCAGTTATTTCCCAAACACATGATTACTTGAAAAGTGTGGCAGTGAAAATTCTTTCAGGCTGTGACAGTGAAAACCTTGTTTGTGTTTGAAGGAGGAAGAAGTTGAAGAGCTAAAACATTTGTGGAGATGGGACAAGCTTTAAAACCCAAGTGTATGTGAGGAAAGTCTGATCAGAAGCAAGAAAGATCCCGGCTGTCCTGGTAGGGCCGGTCTGGTGCTCTGTGCTGAATTCTGGGCCCTAAGATCTGGTTGCAGTCCAGAGGAGGGTATTGTCATGTTACTGATCAATGTTGCGTAAACAATGTTGTGTATTAACCAATTATCTCTGATTGATTAATTAAAAAACTGGACAACCAGCTCTGGGCAGAGGATACAGGTAGATAGAACTTCCGTTACCAGTCTTGAGATCTCAGGTAGGGACCACAAGAAAGAAAAAATTAGAGAGGAGAAGAAAGAGGAAGATGGAGAGAAAGTTCATGGCCTGATGGAACAGAAACAGCCCATACAGGACCAATAGGATAGTAACCTGGGGCACATAGAGCTGAGAAATAGTAAGACAAGCATAGAAGATTACTAAAAATGTGTATCTGCTCAGTTTTGGAGCCTAATGTTTATTAATAAGTCTAATATGTCTCTGTGTCATTTATTTATAAGCAAGAATGAGTGATTAGAAAAGCCCTCCAAAATATAAATTATCTACTACACTGGCCCTTTTAGTGGGATTACAGATATTTCTAGTTTCCATTCATGGAACACCAAATCCTTACCTATCCATGGAATGAAGAAAGCAAGCATCAACTTAAAAGATCCCTGAGACTAAACAAGGACTCTGGGAAGTTGAGTCACTAATAAAAAATAAATATTTGGTTCATCAGTATAGTTTAGTAACAGAGGTTGTTCTTAGCTTGCATAAGGCCCCGGGTTCAACTCCCAGGGAAGGGAAGGAGATAGGGAGGAAACATATGCACATCTGTCAAATGAGACCTGACACAATACACTTTCTCTTCTTATTCTTCGAAGAACTGGGAAGGGAGGGGGCTGGAGATATGGCTCAGTTATTAAGAGCACCGAGTTCACTTCCCAGCACCCACATGGCAGCTCACAACTGCCTGTAACTCCAGTTCTAATGGATCTGGCACCCTCATACACATATACATGCAGACAAAATACCAATGCACATAAAATAAGAATAAATAATCATTTAAGAGAGAAAGAATTTTTAGCCAGGCAGTGGTGGCACATGCCTTTAATGCCTGAATTTAGAAGGTAAAGGCAGGAAATCTCTGGGTTCGAGACCAGCCTAATCTACATAGTAAGCTCCAGGACAGCCAGGGTTACACAGAGAAACCCTTTCTCAAAAATCCAAAACCAAACACCAAAACCAAACCAAACCAAACCAAACCAAAAAAATTTAAGTGATGCCCCATGAGCTTTCTTATATAGAAAATGATATTTACATGACACACTAGGTAAAGGGGGAAATCTGCTTTGTATCTTATAAAGCCAGAGAAATACTCTCTATAACAAAATAACAAAGGCTGAAAAAGGAGGTTCCTAACAAAAACTAAACGTAGTCACTAACTTGATGGCTGCTTTTCCCTGGTGTTATAAAGAAGTCCTTTGGATACCATCAAACTGGAACAAGTCAGATAGGTTAGGAATTTTTTTACCTAAGAATTCTAACAAACCTCTTCCCTACTCACCCAGTTCAAGTGAAAATTAGCCTTTCCCTCTGAAAAAGTAGACTTACCTGTTGTACTCAGATAAAGCCTGAGTGATTACAAGCCCCATGCCCTGGAAGAGAAGATACAATATAGCTGAAATAAGCAAGGAGCCTTTAGGTATCGGTCACATTGCTATAGCTCAGTCATGGAAAACATTAAAGTCCTAGACTCTATACCCAAGACGTTCTGCCTGAAAGCTGACATTAAGGACAGAAATTCTTAGTAGAATTTTGTTTATTTCATCAAAATAACAAAAACCCTAAACCAAGGGAGGTGGGGCAGCATCCTCTTTGGAAAGACTGTTTGTATAATTATTTTGCTTAATGTTCCTACATACTATGAGAAGATTCAAACAAAAAGAACTCACACAGATCTCAAACAGCCACAACAAAAGTGATAGTGAGTCTTGGATTAAATGAAAATGAGTATAGGAAAGCCACTCTCAGGCCACAAGAAAACAGGAAAGGGGTTGGTGAAACATCTCAGAAAATAAAGACTATTGCTGCCAAGCCTGAGGACACATGGAGTGAATGAAGAAAACAGACTCCTACAAGTTATCCTTTGACACGTGTGTGCGTGTGTATACAGACACATACATCATACATGTCAAATGTGACAAATATGTCATATATATGATGTATTGTGTCATATATATATACATACATATACACTAAATAAAATGTAATAAAAAAATTTTTTGAGACAGTGTCTCACTACAAAACTAGCCATGGCTGTCCTAAAACTCGCTTTGTAGACCAGGCTGGCTATGAACTCACAGAGATCTGCCTGCCTCTGCCTTCCAAATACTGGGATTAAAGGTGTGTGGCACCATGCCCAGCATAATTTTTAAAATGTAAGGAAAACAGCATGAAATAAATATTACAATGACAGAACAGTTTTCTCCAGAATCTGTAAAGCATATCATAAAGATCTTTAAGGTCACAAAGATGAGGATTATGGTTAAAAGGGTAAGTCACACACATAGTTTTTTCCAAGGGAAATTAAAAGAAATTTTAAAAGATAGAAGAAAAGGAAGTAAAGTCAAATACCTGGTCACCTTTTTCCTTAAATCCAGAAAGCAGATGTTATTTTGCAGAATTTTAGGGACACATATAACAGATATATATCACTCTTCATGTTTCAACCTCCTCAAGTATGGCTATAAATTGTATCAAGCTAGTTCTTTAAGGAAGAATTTCAGGGCTGGAGACATGGCATAGTGGTAAAAAATCCTTGCTACTCTCGAGAAACCCCCAGGTTTAGTTCCCAGCACCCATATGGATGCTCACAACCATCTGTAACTCCAGTTCTAGGGAACCCGGTTACCTTCTCCCGGTCTTTTCAGGCACCAGGCAACACACATGGTTGTACGTGGCCCACACTGTAATCCTGTACTGAAGAGGCTGGAGCAGGAGGACCAGAACTCTAAGGCCAGCTTGGGCTACAAAGACTGTCTCGAAAAACAAAATCCAAACTCATGATAAAGCACTTGCTTTCTGGCATTCATTTCTTACTTATTTGTTGTAGTACTGGAAGTTAAATCCCAGCCCTTTTTCTTTTCTTTTGAAACAGGGTCACACCAAGTACCACAGGATGACCTTAACCTGCCCTTTTCTACCAGTTTCCATTGCTAACACCACTGACCCAGCTTCTCTCTTCTTAATGTCCATTGAAAATAAGGACTCTGCATGCAAATGCAAGGAAGACAATACTAAACTATCCAGAATCCAATACTCACATTCAGCGTAGCCTCATCATCCACAATAGACAGCTTCACAATGTAAGGATTCACAGACTATTAAACAACAGAAAAGAGAAGGTAAGTATGACCAAGTTTAAAAAGCCTGCTGGCTAATTAAGAAAGTGATAACAGAAAGGCTTCTGTGAGCCTCTTTCATGGCGATGCCCCCAGTACCCAAGCCCGAACCGCCTGCCTGCTGACTCCCAGGGGATCTCTCAGCTCACCCAGGCGTTTGTCAAGTGCACTTGTGTGCACGTACGCATACACACACAAATGTCAGTTCTGTTCTACCTGCACTTTCCTCTCGGATGAATTAGTTCGTGTTTATGTTCCTCTACATCTCCTATTTTTTTCTTCTTTCTTGCTTCTAAAAAGTGAATATGCTGAAAACTCAATCTGTCTTATCCGACTGAGTCCACAGGGATAGCTATCCTTTGGGAGAAATACAAGCTTCTTTCCCTTAAGACACGTACTTGTAAGCTGCTAACTTACACTCTCCTCCCAAAGGCTCCCTAACCATTTCAAAACTACACACAAGGACTGATTTACCCACCCGGAAAACAAAGCCACCTCAGGGGTGGGAAGTGGCAGCTGCTTAACAGCCAGCGAGGCCATTTATGGAGCTCTGATACGCAAATAACACTGCAGGGGTACTGCAGAAAGGATGCTATTACCCAGGCAGCAATCTGGTCAGGACACTGGGATTTCATGATTGCCCCATCACTTGCAGCACTGGAAGATTACTTGAGTTTTCCAGACCTAGTCTCAGCTGGGCACATATTTAGACTCATTAAAGATATGGCTACTTCCTAAAAGTGGTACGAGAGCCAGTGTCCTGCTCACCTTAAAAACATCCTATCCACAGGATGTGAGGAAAGTTCTAAGGCTCAAGTACCAATTCCAGCACAAGGAAGGCGAGTGCTCAGAATGGTGATTTTTATGGCTACCAAGAAAACTCATTATTAAGCTGAAACTGAAGCTGAAAAGGTAATCCCACATAGACCTCATCTTTAATCAAGTTTCAAAGCACATCTTTCACATGTCAAGTGGAGATGATAGATAGATAGATAGATAGATAGATAGATAGATAGATAGATAGAT